AGGATATGAGGCAGCTGAAACAATCTGACATAATCATATGCGCTATTTAGACTGTTGGATTTATATTTAAGATTTAAATAACTTACGGTTTATCTTTGCGGCTGCTTGGTAAGAGACAATACTATGGTTTATCAGTGTCCTTTGTTACCGTGTAATTCAGCACGTGGGCACGTCCAATGGGCCTGGTACAGGAGAAAGAAGTTTGGGTTTTCGTCACTGGTGAGGCAGATGCTTCGTGGACACGGCGTTGGTTTAAGCGTGGGAAGCTTCACGGGGAATTTTGATAGGTCTTTTTTTGCATCTTTAGAGGGAGAAGTGACACAGTGTCACATCACAGCTTTGCCACATGAACAACCAGCACAAACAATATTGAAAATAGAATCGCTCGAGTTATTTTTTTGTATTTATAAAGTAAAGTTTTAACATTTTATACGCACCCCCCCTTACCCCACCCCCACCTGAACCTACACAAAGAGCACTTTTCCTTTTAGCACACAAGCATGTTCATTTACAGCCAAGGATAAGGATATGTTGTCAAACCTGAGCCATTTGACAGTAAAACGCAAAAGAGGTCAACGGAACAAACTGTATCCTTGAAAAAACGCTCAATAAACACCTTTCTAAAGTTTCAACAAAAAGTGAACATTATAACCTTCACCAAGGAGGATTTATGGCAGGACTGTTGTGTCAGACTGCATTAGTTTTAGCTATAAGTGTTCCTAACAACCTGAGTATATGATAGAAATTTTCAGGGCCCTTTGCATTTAACAAAATGGTTATGTGCACTGCAGAGTTTGAGCGTCTTTGTGGCATGACACTCAGGATGAGCAGAGTAAGACTTTATGAAGGAGGGTCTTTTTATTGGAACATGGACTAATGCCATTGTCCATAATGGAGACTGATAATAGAGCCGCTGTTGTGGAGGATTCATTCATTCTCGCAGGGTGTTGGTTCTTATGATGGAGTCTTTTCATAGAAATCCCTGCTTCATTTCATGAGCACCCATCTCATGCAGAGCTTTGGTTAAGATGCCAGGTTTGGCATGTAGATAAAGGAAAAGGCAAGTCCAGCAGCACCTCCTCTCTGTCTCTGTTATCCTGAGCCTCTTTAGGTGGTGGAGAACAACTGCCACACACGGACCGACTGTCAGGCTTGAATGGGTGACTTCAGAACCAGAACGTAGCACCACAGACAGCTCTCACCTGTCCAAACACCCTCTCACTCCTCAGCACTATGGGCAGAGGTCATTGATAAGTGCCACCCAGTCACCCACACCTGACTCCTCTTGATCTGACATGAACAGCCAAGCGTGACCTTGTGACACCTCACGATGGAAGCCACAGGAGTAGCTAGAGAAAGGACACTTACACTAATATGTCAAAGATTTCTCATATTTACACCCTTTTTTTTACTCCATATCAGTGCTCATATTGCTTCTGTCTGAATAGAGACCAGCTATAAAGCCTTATATGATGTTTTTTGCTGTTCCTCGCTCGCTCTCTCTGTCTCTCTTGTTTACATATATAAATAGTATGAGTAACTAATAATAGTTAGTATGTACTTAGTATATTATTCTTTTATTATATGGTGTTGCGTATGTGTGTGTGTTGTGTTGTGGATGTGTGTGTGTTATACACTAGTTGCTCAATAAAGTTGAATAAATAGTTTAGTACCCTCTTACCATGAAATGATTGTGACAATGTGATTGGGTAATTGGTAATTGGGACACATAATGTAATCATTGCACCTAAAACAGAGTATTGTGTCTGAAAACAAAATTATTCCAACTTTATGGGCGACAGTGTATATATGAAATGTGCATCACTATAGTATATACATGATATATATATCACTATATATAATATAAATATTATAATAATTAATATGTATAGTACATGTGCGTTAATATGTGTAGTGTGTGTGTGTGGGCTATCGTGTAATAATATGTGTAAGTGATAGTACTAGTGTATATATAGGAAGTGATGCACACTTATCCAATATCTTTCAATAAATACACACATTATTAATGACATGGAGGAAATGAAATATCTCATTGTAGCATTTCAACAGGTTTTTCTGTTTGCTGTAGTGAGTCTGGTTCAAGGCAAGAAACAGACTTCATGTCCATATTTCTTCCCCTCATGTACAAAAAACCTGAAGTGGCACTGAACACTAAAAACACATTTAAGCGTGGAGCCCATTCTGAAATCAAAGCATATTTTCGAACTGCTTTTAACATTTATGTCATTCTTTGCATCTATGAGAAATGTAGGGTCTACGTTTTAATTTGAAGTTAACACAATATTTTTTCTTTCGACTATTTCATGTTATCACGATTTTGATTTAAATATTTTATGAAAACCTGGTAGTTACGTATCCGATGAAAGGAACAAACAAATGTATTTTAAGTGAATTTTGATCACAACAGGGGATCAAATCAAACCCCAGCCTGCAGTCATGCAGCCTGCAGATGCTTCAGTATCGTGCGGAGGATGTTGGCGTAGGTTTTGGCTTGGGATGCCAGACAGAGTTTGAGCTGCAGTCACGATGTGGAGGCAGGAAAACCTAGAAGTCAGGCTGGAAGCCTTCATGAGGCCGGGATGGCGACGATCACCGTCCGTCAGCGAGGCAGAGCCCGTCGACGCTTTTGCTTTCACGCCTCAATAAACCCGCGCTGTCTCCATCTGTCTGACCACTTAGGCTCGTGTCAGTCTCATGCCGTTTATACGCCCAAATTCTCACTTATGATTTTATTCTCAAACACTTTCAAATTTAAGATGTTTTATGGGAACACGTAAGATAACTTTTTTCACATTTTGATCCAGATTATACAGAACGGACAGCATTAATGTAGTTATGCTAGATCTTACACATCAGCTATAATAAAGATGATATATTATAATATAATATAATATAATAATGATATGTAATAAAACGCTTTGTCTGACTTAAATCTTACAGATATAGCCAGAGACTGGATTCACTAGCCTGTAGTTTAACCGGATAAAACAAAGAAACGAATCGTATCTCTTTCCCGTACAGTTGCTGGAAAACTTTTCTGTCCTCCCCTCAACAAAGGGTCACTATGCTCTCAGCTTGCACAGATGGATACCCACGCTGAAACCAGGACAAAGAATATCAGCCTCTCTTGAACTTTTTTTTTTTTTTTTTTGTCATATCTCGGAGGGCCCACTCCTAGACTGGACTCGATGGCAGTTATAGAGGGGGATGGGGGGGCATGGACCAGGACGCGTGCAAACCCGCGCATTTCATGCCTGAAAAATAAGAGAGTTGAAACCCCTCAAGCTACAGCAGGACAGCTTGCTGCCGAAGAGCAGCTTCATATTTGCCGAACTGACACGAGCTTGTTGCGCCACATGTGTGTCCAAATGTAGCTAAATAAACACCTTAAATCAAATCGTGTGTTCAACATGTTTCTTATTCCGTGCGTAAAATTTGATGCGTAAAGATGGTGTTTGGCATACTGTGTTGTCCCGTGATATCCAGAACAAAGGGATCTATATGGGTTAAAAAAAGTCTGTTATGTGGCGTTTAGGTACATCACATTTTTACATATAAACAAGTTTTTATATAGATTTTGTTTATTTATGTCTTTTTTCCCTTGTTCCCTTTTAGGACTCCCTTATAGTATCTAATGGCGCTGTTCTTACCCCCCACCCCCCACAGAAAACGTCGTTGTTGAGGGACATTGATGGTGAGGGCGCAAAGGGACAGGAGAGGATGCTGATGGGAGCAGCAGCGGAGTGGTACAGCAGTGGGAGAGAGGGGGAGGGTGCGAGGTATGGAGAGACGGAAGATGAGAAGGAGGGGGTTTCCCATCTGTTGCTCAGCTGTGGCGCGTGCCGAACGCGTGATTCCTACTGGCAGCGCACAGCAGCACTGTTTGTTTTAATGGCCAACAGCAGAGATTGACTGAAACTCTTCAAATATGTCGAAATAAAGGCAGTTTGATTAAAGTTTGAAATGTTTACAATGATGTATTTGTAGAGAAGCAAACGGAGTATCACTCCAAAATAGAGGTCCACTCTTTCACTGATTCACAGGCATATTCCTCACTGTGTTATCCCTGCAGTGTCGGAGCAGACTAATGCTTGGCTCTTTGTGTATCCTGCACTCCGCACATGCACCTCCTGCGCCTGGTCTGTTGCAGGTTATGACTCTGTCTCCTCCCCCACTGCTCCAGGTAAACAACGTGTTGTTGATATTGGAAACAAGCTGCTGGGGTCCATTAACAGATGTTAATCCATACATAGCGTGGCTTGGGTATCTGGTTTATTAATTTTAGGAATAGATTACTCCCGCCTCAGGATTACTCCTCTGGTTTTGTGTTTCTTTTGTAGTGTGTAGTCGAGCCCATAAGCATTAATAAACGAACTGAATTTACACAGCCTGGCCCACTTTTATTATTTTGATGGAAAGGTTTTAATTGTTCGTATGTAGTAATGCGTTTTTCAGATGTGTCATCACACAAAAATTTATATTTGACTGGTTTGACTTATGGGGAATTTTCGATGCAAAAATAAAGAGAACAATAAACAGAAAGATAATCAGTTTAGTAACGAAGCCAGGCGAAAATAAGCGCGTCCTAATGTAGAAAGTATCAGCGGGTTCTTCATATTGTGTGTGTGTGTGTTAAGGGAAAAAAAAGTCGTTATTTGGCTTGTACACGTAATTTGATCTTGGTGGACGTTAAAACTTGAAATATAAAGGCAATAAAACGCAACACCATCACGAAACACCGCATACCAGCGGTAGATGCAGAGGCCCAAAGGGACCAGATGGTCCAGACAGGAGCGCCACTCAACTCCCAGAGGCATAGCCCCCCGTCCCCCCCTCTAGGGTGTGTGGCTTGTGTGTTCCCCCTGCTCTGACGCGCCAGACCCACATAAATAGGAGGCTCCTCCAGCTCTGCCTCACACTTCAGCTCAGCCGCTCCAAGAGCAAGTATCTCCCATTAAAAAAGCACAAAGAGAAACGAAATGAGTCCCAGCATCACGACTGAGGCCAACCAGCCTCTCCCTGCCAGGTCCACCGTGGCCCAGAGAAAACAAGCCAACGAACTGAGAAAGGTAAGGAAAAAGGAGAAACTAAACAGCTGTGAATTTGACTGGAAATATCATCTGATTCTGACTCTTTTAAAAGCGCAGTAGAATAATGATTTTTCATTATTTCTTCCAGACTCTCAAACCCTTGCTGGAGAAAAGAAGACGTGCCCGTATCAATGACAGTCTCAGTCATTTGAAAAGCCTGATTCTGCCTCTTATTGGCAAAGACAACGCACGCTACTCCAAGCTAGAGAAAGCTGATATTCTGGAAATGACCGTCAGGTTCCTAAGAGACCTTCCTTCCACTCCAGTCAAAGGTGAGCATCTCTTGAACTACGATATGCACTGCATTTAATCTCTTGTTTCAGATGTGCTCCACATGGAATCCCAGTGACTGATCAAATCTCCTCTTTGCTTCTTCCAGATTCCGCAGACAGTTACAGAGAAGGCTTCAAAGCCTGCCTCCAGCGCGTCTCCGCTCTGCTTCCCAAAACGAGCCTGGACCAAGACGCGTGCCAGCGCGTCAACGACTTCGTTCAGCAATCTATGTCCGCAGCCGTCACCCCAACCTGCCGTAACTGCTGCGCCCAGAGCTCCAGGACTTTCCCTCAGATCCAGCAGAGACTCCTGAGCCTCAAATCCAGCTTCAGCTCCAGACCTGAGAGCCAGTCCCGCGGCAGCAGCGGCGCAGGGGCTCCCAGCCCAGCGCAGCCAGGCCCGCAGCCTGTCAGCGCTGCCATGTGGAGACCTTGGTAGATTAGATGATGGACTTTTATTTCATGTGTTATTTATTTTGTGATGTTATTTAGCTAGTTGTATTCCAATAGCTGTAGTCTTGAAGATTTAAGAAGAGGAATTGCTGTATAATAATTTAATTCAGCATTTGGCTCATTTTGCGTTTAATGCCAGAGGGCACAAGAGCACAGATCTCAATGAAACTGTAAAGTCAATGAACTTTGTGAAATGTAATCCTCTTTGGGGTGTCAAAGAAATGGGTTGTAGACAACACTTTTGTAAAACCCCAAGGGTTATTTTGTTTGAGGTTTGCACGATGGACTTAAAAGTATTTTGGTCTGTGCAACAGAATCGTCTGTAAACACTATGTGTTAATATTATCTATTGATGGCATGTAAGACAACAACATGTTTTGTCATTAACAAAAGGTTTTCAATAAATGTGCACTCGTCGAAGATGGTTGTGATGGTGTGATCTATATATTCTGCGATGATATAAGGTTCTTAAATGAATCACTAAGCCCAGACGCCCTCGAGAGAGGACTCTCGGAAACGAAAGCAATAAAAAAAAAGGCGCGCAAACGCGCAAGGCCACAGGTCAGCTGGAGCCTATTGATGCTGATGAGCAGCTGCTCCATTGTTGCTGATGTGCTGCGCCTCTCCAGTTGCCGCCAAATTGGAGGGAAGAAGTTGGACTGGTTGTGAATTACAATGACAGATTTCAAGCAACCACTTGTTTGTTACAATATCTTGCATTTCCTAATAAGTGATGACTTAGCATTTCCCTGTCAGTAGAAGGTTTATAAATGGACCTGGTAGTCACACTACTTTACATCTCACACTACAATAACCTGTGATTGCCATAAGGCTTTGTAAGTTCTCTGTGATATCCTGAACCGTCCAGCTTTTACTAAATAATACAGGACATTAGCCTGTTTCCCTTGTATGTATTCTTTATCTAGGATTTTACAGCCTGTAGCTGTAGTTGTTTGTCATGGCAGTTTCCTTTGCACAAACTACTCTCTTTAAAAAAGACTCCGTCCCCCCTCCCTTTATATTTGCTGCTGATTATACTGGATAGAAGTCAGATTCAGTGGCGCTCCAGTTTATACATGTGTTTATCCCAGTAGGAAGTAGTGCTGTGCACTGTTCAAACACACAACATCCTCCTGACATTATGAATGTCATATTAATACAAATGCCTGAGATTTCACTGAATGAGTACAGAATAATAATGACCAATTCTAATACTCGACTTGCTGAAGTATTATTATTTTTAAACTTAGAACACTATATGTATTTGTTGTTGGATACTATGAAGTGTTATGGAGGCTTATAGCAACTCCTCTCCTATAATGCATTATGAAGGTACATGTATCCATAATGAATTCAGATGGGCATCTTAAGTGCAAGTGTTTTTGTTCTCTGCGACACGGACCAATGCTGTGACAGGAAGCAAACTTGTTCTGAAGAATGACGAGACTTTCTTGGCTTTTAGGCGGCCATTAATTTCATTCATTTTAATTTGGTATGAAAATCAACATGTACAGACTTGAAACATACAAAACAGATTTCCTTACAGTGGCAAGAAAAAGTAAGTAAACCCTTCAGAATTCCCTCCAGTATAAATTTGTCCTAAAATACGGTCAGATCTTCATCCAAGTTACAATTATGAATAAACACAATCTATTTTACCCAATAACACATACATCGTTGTCTTGTTCTTGTTCATATTAAAAACATCATCTGAACATTCACAGTGTAGGTTGGAAAAAGTACGTGAACCTGGAGGCAAATCAATGAAACAAGTTTAGAAGTGTGGATTAGAGCTATACTTTGACCTATTAAAAAAACAGCAAACATCTTCTAATGTGAACCAATGCCTCACAAAAAAGAGGTTTTATAAGACTTAGTATCAAGAAGTGTTGATTTGCGCTAGAGTAACAGAGTTTAAATATTCATCAGTCCACATTCAGACAAACTGTCTATAAACTGAGAAAAAGTTAGTTCTGTGGCTACTCTTTCTAGAAGTGGGCGTCTAGCAGAGATGACTCCAAAGGCACAATGCAGAATGATCAATACTCAGTAACATAACAAAGAAGCTCAGAATAACAGCTGAAGGCTTGAGATAATAAGTGAAGGGGGTTCACATCTCTGTTCATGAGTCTACCATACACAGATCATGGTGCATCACATATACGCCTGAAGAGCACCCTGACACTCCACAGTGCTACTGGGACAATGTTACTGTGGGCTGACGAAACTATGTTGATATGTTTGGGAGGAACATGCAGCATTATGGTGTAAGTAAAAAGGCCACTGCATAACAGCATGAAAACACCATCCCAAAGGTGAAGCAGGGCGGAGGGAGCATCATGATGTGGTGCTGCTTTACTGGACAGCTCCAGGTTGTCACAGGGAAAATGAGTTCCCAAGTTTATCGAGGTCTCTTACGGGATGATGTCAGGGTAGAAGCTGGGTGATGCCGTGGCACAATGAGCCTAAACATCAAAGTAAATCTGCTACCTTCAAACAAAAGAAATCCACCTTCTGGAAGTGGCCCAGTCAGAGACCAGACTTAGATCCATGAAAAATGAAAATGCTGTGGACAGAGCTGAAGAGAGCCGTTCACACCAGACATCAGAAGAATATAGTTGATCTGAAGACTTCTCCTGAACATTCTGCAGGTGTGATTGGTTACTGGTGCCAAAGGAAGTTTGACCAATGAGTAAATCCAAGGATTCACTTACTTTTTCCACCACTACCGGGAATGTTTGATGGCTATGTTCAATAAATACACAGGAACATTGTGTTTGTCTGTACTGTGACTAAGATGAAGACCACATCAAATTTTATGACCAATTAATGCAGAAAACCAGGTTATTCCACACAATGTTTCTTACCACTTATTTTTAGTTTGTTAATGTTGTTTTTTATCCGTTCAGAAATTCCAATTTGATACTATCCTTCAGTGGTTATGAACCAAAGACAAGAGACTGTTTAAAGATGATCCAACAAACACATAAAAACACACAATTTTTTAAATGCAACAACCAAAGTCAGATGGTACACCATATTTTATTTCTTGTTGTTTGTCTTAGGTTTGATTTTCTGACAATATCAATGCAAATACAACAGGCATACAACTCATAAATATTGGAAAGGGTTTGTGGAAAGAATTGCTGAGGAAACCAACAATGGTGAGGAAATATTACTTGATGGATTATCAAGTAATATTTCTCAAGTCCATGAAATGTAACTTAAGTACGTTTGATGTCTCTTGAGGTTGACTGCCAGATTGCTGTAACAGAGAACTGATATGAAAATGTGTGGTGTACGCAAAAAACATCCAGCTGCAAAACCACAGTGATGGTTTCTTAAAAGACGGGTTTGCATTTGTAAAACCATCTTAAGACAATGCTTAAATGCTCCTGCGCACACCGAAAGTTATTGGTTGCTTGTAATTAGTCCTGCTCGTTAGAGATGAAAGAAGTTCAGCCAAAGATAATATGAGTCTTTAGCATGTGATTTATCAGGTGGCTCATGAAAACTCCCTGTTTCTGGGTCCATGCACACTGGGGATGTAGTGATGTACTGGTACTGACGTTAACCATGACATTTAAAAATCATACATTGATAGTGTGTAATTAATACACGTATGATTACATCATGATGGCAGACGTGACGCTTGTGGGTCTTTTGTTTATCAGTTCATCTAGTTGGCTTGGCAGTGTAATTGTTCTTTTTGTCACAGACTCTCTCTCCACCTCCCTGCACTCGTATTTGAGTCTAATTCATTTGCCACAACAGAGACAAAACATACCATAAACAAAGTTACAGATGCATTTGACTAATTGTGTCGTGAAAATCGGATATTGTGATGGCCCTAATGCACACCCACTCAGGGTGCTGAAGCCTCATGTTAACCTCAGCCAAATTTAAAATTGCATTTTTGCACAGAATAATAACTAAAATAGTTATATAAAAAAAAGTAGGATATTAATGGGTAATAATATTCAACATGTCCTCTGAGTTGTTACTGTGCCGGGCAGATTGTTACTGGACTTTAAATGTTCCTTGTTCCCATGAAATGTAATGTGATGTGGCATTGCCGTCTTTACAGGCGACTAAGACAAAAACACACATTTTTGCTTATGCCCCAGACACCAAACAGTTCACGAAACTTTGCCATGATAACACAAAACATAATGTAGTATACATTATTGTATAAACTAATAGAAAAGGTGTCACAGTGTCTACTATCTAACCATTAACTCAGACCTTTTGTCTAAAAAGTGGAGGAGTAAGATTGTGTATGAAAAGACAGGTAACACTGGAAAACTATAAAAAGTGTCCACTACCCTTGAAGGTTTTCAGTTTCCTTTATGCCTCTATGTGTCATGGCTCTTATTGCCTTTGTCCTTGAGTCTGTGTGGATAGGTCTGCCGTCCGTCAGAGGTCTGGGTGATCATGAGCAGAGGCACCAGCAGCCATAACACTGTGTGTACATTTAAAAAAAAAAAAAAAGACTTTGTTTGTTTAACATCTTGAAAATAAAAGGGTGACAACAGGAGATCCTGTCTTATTTTTTTAGCTGCATCCACTCACTAACGTTATGAGTCTAGATTGAAGAGGAGAGCAGGGGATAAAGGAGTTTGGTGCTTTCATGCCCAGTGCTGACACTGCAGATGTGGAGCACTGATGAACATCAATCATGATATTGGAATTGATGCAGAGGTCGTTCTGTAAGAGTTTGATGTAACGTTCAGACAGAATGAACTTCATATTGGCAGGAACACTATTTCATTGAATTGTCTCATGAGGTTTATTGATTGTTTATTGCAGCAGCTTGGTTTGGTCTTGATGCTGAGTCTTGTTATTACTGTCTTTAGTAATTAGGTAGACAACTGTTCTTATGATGATGATGCTAACTGAGGAAATCTGTTGCTTCATGTCGACTTTTATTGCACGATTCTCTGGGATATTCAATATAGTATATAATAGTATATTGTAGCTTGTTAT